AAGAGTTTACTAAAGGCGGCAAATGAGCAGACGGACTTGACGGTAAGCAATTGGCGTCTTCAATAGATACCCAAAATCAATCCCGGATAATTAAGGTTTTAGAGATTAAGGGGTTAAGAAACCTGCTTCTAATAAATGACTGAGGCTCGAATACCTACTTAATTCCGGTCTTAGAAATCAATCTTATTCATATTAAGCCTCTATAAAACTTTACCGATTGAAAAAAACACTTTCAGCGCATAAAATATACTTAGCGTTAGAAAGTATAAGATATTAAATATTTACATTGCAATGAACATTATATTTAATTGACTCATGCAAACTTTCATGTAATTAGAATTTCATTTTATTGGAAGCAGACATAAGAATTAAGTTAGTTGTCTTATTATGACGTCATATGACACCATCTATCTGTATATTTTCCGCTGGTGTCGTAAGGTCAACTAAGGAACTGCATGTTCGACAGAGTTGGAGCAGCATGCAGTTTTCTAATACACCAAAACCTTTTAAACTGCAGTCTCCAACCCACCAAGCATATCGATGGTTTTCTCCCCTCAACAAAAAGATACCGTAAGACATCCAAATAGTGGAAAGCCCTCTTTCATAGAATACCTATTTTAAAATCAAAACTGGTCACTGCCATGTTGCCAACGAGTAAAGATTGTCCTCGTGTAAAATAGTCAAGATTACGATATTATCCACTAACCCAATCAATGTAAATCAATGGAAATCATAATAGGTCTTAATGCCGGAAACCTTTTAACTAGCAATTAATTAAATAGCTAATCAGCAGGTAATCTGATGACGCCAGATAAATTAAAAGTTTTACAATCGACAAAGGATGATTTCGTTGTCTGTAAAAGATTTATTTTTTACGCTATGACAATCATTTTCCAATGTGCCAATAGCAATATTCGTTTTCTTCGGACGAGGAAATCTTTACAAAGTTAATAGAGATTCTTTTCTAGATTTTTCGATATCTATCATCGTCTAAAACTGGTTTTTAGTTTGTTCGTGTTTTCTTAGATACTTGTTACTGGTATGCAGTTTTCCTTGTGACTGACCGTGAATTCGTTTGAAAGTTGTGATCGTGGTATTGAGTAAAAATATGGTGTTTTGTATTTGTTGTCTATAGGAGTGAGTTAGTATTTGATGGTAGATGAACTGAGACTGCTTTGGTATCGATGAATAAGTTAAAAATACTTACTATTACTTTACAATAAAATAGAGGGCATACTATGAGTTATAAGATCGAAACGTTGCGTTTCGTCCTGATTGGCTTGCTCCAATAAACTAACCTATCAGAGGGCTAAACTCAGTAAGATTTCGATCTTGTTTAACGTAATAAAAACTCGTATTAGGTCTTCAGGTGTAAATGATATTTGCACACATAGATGTAGGTACTGTAGATTCCTGTCAAAAATGACAGCAAGGCCAATTTGTTGCTCATCAAGCCTTAAAACTACAAATTAATTTTCCTTTCTTTACACAAAGGTTTGTCCTTACGAACTTATCAATTTCTTTAAAATGAATAAAACATGATACTGTTACTACGTTTATAAATTAAACTAAAATGTATAATGCAATGGCTTTATAAGTTTAAAATGTTGTAAATATACAATTTGTAATCAGCAGGTGACTACGAGGACGTGAATAAAAAGAACAATATTTTAAACAATCTACAAGCAATAAAAATAAATACTTAAATGTATGTAATTGGTGAAATTAGTTTTTAATGGGACTAGGGAAGCTAATTTTTAAATAGCCGTAAAATAGAATACCAAGATTTAAGTCATTCCGGAGCTGTGCACGACTTAACGGGTTACCGGGGTTCCGGCTCAATGTAAAATTGGAACAGGGTGGTTTTTAGTCAGTAAGAGTCTGACACTCTCTCTCGCCTTTCTCAAGGAGAAGTCACTGGATGATATCTCCCTTAAATAAGGACTTTTAGTCATCTGAATAAATCAAAACTAGTCGAGTTCCTCGTCAAATAAATATGTGAGTAGCCGAAAATCAATAATAAATTTAGTATGTCTCAAAAAACTTATAATGTAAATCCATACAACCATTTTGATACTTGCTAGACTTATTTAGATTGGTGGTTATAATCAGACTTAACATGTTAAACGCCATGGTATACATCGATGAGATAATAGAGGAAGATTTGTCTTCAACAGCGGTTCGGTTACAGTCAAAGCATGAACCGAATTTCAGTATTGGAGTGTCATGCCTTTCATTGCATGGTGGAAACCCAACCAACGAACCCCCACGCTACGCCCTTCGATCTCATTGACTGGATTTTGGTGTTACATTGTTCTCGCACAATCGAACCAATAAAACTGTGTAACTAGAGAATTGTATTGTGAAACTGATTGGAAAAGAGTAACCTATGTAGTTTCTTCCTCGTTTTTCTCCACAGAAATCTACACCTTGGAATGAGCAAATAGCTTCACTTTTAAATTTTCTTTGTTGACGTTCAAAAGTGGCTTCCTGATCTAATTGAAATAAATGATTTTGACTTTGTTTTTGGCTAATATAGGTAGGTGACATTTAACGATATTTTGGTTTTCACCAATCTATAAGTGATACTTTACAACCTACGAATAAGGGGTTAGTTTAAGTGCCACCTCACTCTAAGTGGCTTTTAGTTAAGAGATAGTTTAGGGGTACTTGGCAAAAAATGGCCATCAATAATGCACAGCACTTCTTTGGTCAAACCTTTTGTTTATATTAAAACCCTCTTGAGATATACTAAATTAATTATTATATTTTCGGCTTACTTAAATAACTGTTTAATGAGGAACTCGACTAGTTTCAAACTATGCTACAGACTCATATTCATGAGCAGCATTCGGCGACCCGCGACGCGGCGACTGTCGCGCTGCTACCGCTGTAGCTGCTTTTTGTTGCTCATGAATATGAACCTCTAACATGGCTTGAAACACGTCAAGTTCCTCGTCAAACAGATACCTAAGTAGGTAAGCCAAAAACTATAACATATTTTCGTTCTTCTAATCACCCATAACAACAGATATACAAGTATGACAACTATAATCAATGGTTAACATAATTTAGAGTGGAAAATAAGCTAAGTTAAGCTAAACTAGGTTATTTTGTCACCCCAGAAATTACATATTTCGCTTTTCATTTTGGAATTAAGCCAATTCAGTGTATTTTACGGCAGTATTCGTATTTGTAACCGTCCATTATGGTTATTTACCATTATAACGTACGTTGCATTAATATTGCGTGTATCGATAGCAATCTACGCGATCATAGACAAAGACTGGCGGCCATTTTGAAGAAGTTTATTCAAATTTCGAACTTTGTAAAAATGTTTCGACGATATATTTGTAAGAGTAGAAAATGTTGTTCGTTTGTTTTTTTTAATAAATAATTGTAATATATTATTACATTTTTGTGTTCAGTATTCTTCATGTTCTGACTTCAAGCTAGATGAGGTTTGCACAATGATTTTTTCTTCCATTTTCCTCTGTCAAACGTTCCTCTTTATTCTTATGATTTTTCTTCTATCCATCTTTTCTTTGGTCGTAGATTCGCGATCATAGATTTGTTCCTAAATGACAATAGTGCCCCGAACACTACAACCAAATACTGGCAAAACCTAATTCTAACCTGCTTTAGAAAAACCAACATTATTATGACGCAGTGAACAATGTGTTTGCCATGTACATACGTCAATCACCTAAAATTAATTAAAACGTATTAAATATGTGGTTTAGTTATGTGATAAAAACAAAATATTTGTTATAAAGACACAAGTAATATGACGTTTTAACGAGTCTATAGTCGACCGCAGTGTGCGTCAGTTACTTGTCGATTAAATAACTTTAGTACTTACTATAAGTTTTGTATTTATAACACGTGGCCTGCAAGTTTAGTCAAGTGAAACGGACAAAGTAATCTTACTTGGCCACGTGCATTTTCCTGCTATACTTTTTATATAGCGTGTGGTCTCTTATTCACAAAGGTTGTTATACACCGTTTGCTAACCTATAAGTAAGGTTCTGATCATGCTAAGGTCATTATCCTGCCTAGATGAGGCGAGAGGGAGTGTCAGACTCTTACTGACTAAAAACCACCCCGTTCCTACTCCTGCACTTCGAGCCAGAGCCCCGGCATCCTGTTAAGTCCTCCCCGGCTTTCTATTAGCATCAGTCATATTCCCATATAGCCCTGTTTTTGGTGGGTAAAAGAAGTCTGATTATGATGGTACCACCTTTATAACCATTTCTTATTATTTTTATAAGTACAGGAGTAAACGAGGAGACCTGTCTTCTGATGGAAAGCGATTAACAAATATAAGTGCGTTGCCGACCTTTTAAAAACGTCTGTCGTCATAGATACTGTAATTTTTTTGAAGTATTGTAGGTAAACAAAACATTCAGAATACGTATTAGATCCTAAATCAGATCTTACAAAGAATAAAGGTCCTCCTCTTCACACAATAAGTGTGTAAAATAGGCCAGAACATAATAATTTGGTCTTTCTCGCCGCAAAATATCATTGTGTATGAGCTACCTACACACAAAATGACACATTGGGCTAACAAACCGCAATTATCATACTGTTATTGTTTTAAAACAATAAAAATTCCTCACAGGGACTTTATTTACGTTAATCTTTAAGCTATTGAACATTTAGTGTCTTTAGCCAAATAAGAAACGTAGTCACTTTTGTTTATATTCACTTAAGTAAGCAGGTATATTGTTCATACATTTTGGGGCACCTAGGTAGCTAATTTAGATAAAGGAAAGCAGAATAATTAGTATGAA